ACAAAAAAAGGAGATACAAAGGAAGGACCATTTTGTATTTGTATATACAGAATAGTTAGGATAGATATACAGCTACTTTCACTTAATTCAGTGAGAAGAAAGAGGTGTACTAATAGTGTTTGGACAGAATATCCTGCCTGCTTCTTGTACTATGGATAACCACTAAGAAGATACAATGTACAATGTATTAATTATTGAAACTGTCCTGTTAATCAGCTTTGAAACTGTCTCATTGATATTTGTTTCTCAATAAAATAAAAAATAAAATTTTTCTAAAAACAGAATGTCAGGTATTTGAAGGAAATTTATAAAAAAAAAAAAAAAAGAAAATTTTCCAGTTTACCATATGCCAAACTCTACAACTCAGTAATTTAGGAAAGAGACGGTTCCTGCTTCTCTCTGAGGCCTCTGCAGAAGCGAGGCGCTGTGTACGGATAATGGTGCTATGCATGTATTTTAATCATTAAGGCTGGGAATACAGAGGAGAAAATGTCATTTGGTTATTTCATAAAGGTGTCTTGAATAAATTCCTCCCTTTCTGCTAAGCTCACCTCTACTTCCAGGAATGTTGGGCAGAATTTCTATGGCACAGGGTTACTTCTGATTCTTTTAGGAATCTAGAAAAAAGAAATTTATCAGGGCAGCTCTAAAGGACTCCTTGAGCCAAGTCCCTTTAAGGAGAAGACTTAAGTACTCTCCAGGGAAGACTGTTGGGAAATTTCCAACGGCCTCCGTAAACGTAGCCTTTGGAGAATAACTCTTGACAGCTCTCTCTGGGCAGATCTTCACTGTGACCCCTGAGTTCAGTTCTGGTGATCGCTCCACCTTGCCATTTAGCACTATTGGTCAGGCACACTCTTGTTCATTCTTTTCTCCTGGATGAGTCTACCCTCAACTTTCCCTGGCCTGCTTGTCTGGTTCTCGCCTCCTAACCTCCCATGGCCTCAGATTTCAAGCTGTAGCCTGCTGACCTGGCTAGCCTGTGCTGCAGCCCCATCTCAGCGCAGCCACCTCTGCCCAGCCACCAGTCCCAGGCCAAGGCGTCAGGCTGCCTGCTGGCCGTGGCTCTCTCATTTCCCTGGTGCACACACATGGGGGTAGGGAGAGCATCAGCCTCGACGGGGAGCGAAGCTTGACCAACACAGAGAGAAAAGAAGGAAGACCTTCTAGAGGAGATCTGTCCAGAGGGGAGGAGCGGAGCCACAATGACAACATTAATTCCTCTAAAGAGGAAAATTGTTTTCTGATGATAAGAGTTTTTTTAAAAAATTACTGTTATTTCTTTTCTGTTAAACATTATGTATGTGGTGATCATCAAATTCAGGTATATAATGGAGCAAGTTTTTATGTTTCTCTTTTCCTTTAAGGCTATCAACCAGCATAGAGGCATTGGCCTGTAATCTCAGCACTCAGGAGGCTGAGGCAGGAGGATCTTAAGTTTGAGAGCAGCCTAAACTACATAGTTCCAGGTCAGCCTGGACTATATTGCAAGATTCTGTCTCAAAAAAAAAAAAAAAAATTACCAATTTTTGCCAAGCAAAGATCATATTTGTTATTCATCAAAATAAAAAGTAGGTAAATTCAGCCCCAAATAAAATTGTGAACAAGTCACATTGTTTTGTTTTGCTTTTTGCAGAACCGAGAACTGAACTCGGGCCCTTGCGTGTTTGCCAGGGAAACACTTACTCTACTGAGCCATCTCCCTGGCCCCGGTTGTTGATTATATTGTTTGGCTTTTTTCCTGATTCTATCCCAGGGTCTAATGGCTATTGATTGTCCTTACACTGGCATCGTGGATTATCGGCAGATAGCTTTGTCATTTGCCCATGATTTCCAAGAAGCAGGTGGCTCTGTCATCACTGATTTTGAAGTGAAAGATATTGAAATGGCTAAAGAAAGCCCTTCTAGAAGTAAAGATGGTAAGCCACTTTTGTCTTTTTCTGTTGAAAACCTAAATTGAGTTTTAGTGAAGCTTAGGAGTGTTTTTGTCTGGGGTGGTATGGTAGGAGGCCCACCTGGAGGAGGGTGCAGGCCAGAGGGGTGCAGAGAGGCGAAGTGGGACAGACACAGGAGAACTGCAGTTGCCGGGAGGGTCTGGTGCCGAAAGCACGGATGAGACAGTCAGGCTGGGACTGAAATCTGAAGAGGTTTATTGATCTCCAGCCTCTTCCCACACTGCATGTGAGGGAATCTCAGTGATGCTTGTTTATAATGCAAATTTTAGCATCATTGTGGCTTAATGAACCTGACTTGCGATACAGGCTTAGGAACAGTGGGAGTCAGTTTTGTTTTTGTTTTTGTTTTTTTTAATATCTTCAAGTTTCAGAATGACTATCCCTAGTCATAGAAAAGACTCAAGACATTCTGAAGCTCCCTCCACTCCCCCTTCTTCATTTTTTTACTTTCTTATAGTACTGGGAAATGAACCCACATCTTGGGTTCATGATATCACTAACCTTTTTTCTTTTCTTTTCTTTCTTTTTTTTTTTCCCCGTGTTTTAGGGAAGGGTCTACAGGGTGTTCAGAGTCTCACTACTAGATCGGATTCATAGTGATTCTCCTGTTTGCAGCCTCCCAAGAGCTGGGATTACAGGCGCATGCCACCACACCCAGTCTCATTTGCTGTCTCAGTGCATCCCAGGGGGTGGGCTGGCATAGCAGGCCTGGGGATCGAACTCCCAGCCCCTGTGCCTGCTTGCAGGTGCTTTTAATCCGCTAAACTATTTGACCGGCTGCCCCTCACTAACCTTTTTATTTTGAGACAAAGTCTAAGTCATTAAGATGCCCAGCAGGGCTTGAATTTTCCTGCTGCTCCCAGAGTGTTGGGATTACATGTGTGTGCCACTGCACTGGGCTTCCATCTCACTTTAGAGTGTACGTAGAGTTGGTTTTGTTTTATTTTGAAGACTCTTATTTTTTCTTTTAATCAAATGAAAGATTTGTGAGCTTTCTATTTGCTTCAAAGGAGTAAAAAGTAGTGTTTAGTTCTTTTCACCTTGACAGGTTTTAAAGACATCTAGGACATCTGAATTATTCAGCCAGTATCCTTTAAAATTCTAAGGTAGACCCAGTCCTAGCCCAGGCCTGTTGGTGCCCTGGAGATTTTTCACGCCTTGGATCAATGCATAATAGTAAATTCAGTATGTCAAGGAGTAAAGTACATGAGAAGACAGGAAAGGAAAATGTAAAATGTATAAACAAGGTCTCAGGCAGACTATAAAGTGATTCCCTTAAAGCTGTTTGTGCTGTTGTGTCCTTTGGAAACTGTACACGCCTGTTTTAAAAAAACACTACTCTGTAGAATAAATGATTTTGTAAGTTATTGGAACTTAGAAGTCAAAAGTAAAAATAAAATAAAATAAAATTCTAGGGTAGGGGTTGGCCACATAGCTCAGTGGATTAAACTGCCTGCTTAGGCAGATATAGGGACGAGGGTTCAGGATTGATCCCCAGCATGCTGTGCCAGCCCCACCCCCTGGATTGTCCTGAGACAGCCATTGAGACTGAGCGTGGTGGCACATGCCTGTAATCCCATCGCTTGGAAGGCTGAAAACAGGAGGATCACTACAAGTCAGATCTGTGTAGTAAGACCCTGTAGAGTCTATGCTAAATACATCAAAAATAAAATAAAATTCTAGGGTAGTGAACAAAATTTTTAAAAGGGATTGTTGCAGATAGGTAGCATAATGAATCAAATTCATGATTCAGGTAGATTTTCTTAATTTTCTATAATTCAATTTTTTTTTAAGATCTTAAGATTTCATGTTTCTGAGTGGGAATTAATTTTATAAATGGTCTGTTTATTATTGGAATTTTTGTGTTATGACCACTCTTCTCTAAGTAGCCCAGACCCTGCATGGAATCTGGTGACTGACATTTGCATAGTATAGACTTTTGGGGCTGGGGAGATAGCTCAGTAGAATAAGCACCTGTCTGGCAAGCACAAGGGCCGGAGTTCAATCCCTGGTTCCAAAAAAAAAAAAAAAAAATACAGACTTTCATATTGGGAAAATTCACGCTGGGTTAGATGGCCCACTGTACAGTGCCTAGTGAAAACTAGGACTGTCTGTGATGGAGCTGGGGTGTGAATGGTTGGTTAGTGTAGGTTAAACTACTTAAGACAAGCTGAAAAACTTGTCAGTTTTACATATTGTCAAGTATGGACTTGTTTAATCTTGTTATTCGGTTAAAAAAAAACCTTCAAATGAAAAACTGGGTCTGATTATGACAGAAGAAGGTCACTCACATTTGTTTTTGGTTAAATTTGTTGCTAGTCATTTAAGTTTGTTAAACAATGGTGGCCTGCTTTCACTAAAAAGCACTTTCACTGTTTCCTTTTTTAACCCCCCAGGGATGAAATATCCAATTGTGATAAAGAATACAAAGGTAAAGTCTTAAGCAAAACTGTTGTCCATTTTCCTGTCTTTTTCTTTTCTTTTTAAAGAATGAATTAACACACAGGGCTGTATTTTAAGTTACTGAGTGAAATTTCCTTAATGTAAAAGTAGTTCCAAGAGAAATTCTTTTTGAGCAGATTAACAGCCTTCATTTTAAGAAAAGTCTCAGCTTGGAAAGTCTTCCTGAAGTGACAGTGCTGGCAAAGAACGGGCCTTTAAGGCCACCTGGAGTGTTTATTTTTACGGCAAAACATAGGTATTTTATCATCCTGCAACTCAAGGACACACAGACATGCAGAGGAAGGTGGCCTGTTTTCCTTCAGCTTGGCATGATCAAAGCAAGAGCCATCTAATGGTGTAGAGTACTGGGCCTCTGTGTCCTCAGGACCCATCAGGAGGACAGAGTTCCTCTTGTGTGTTTCAGGATTGCCTGGAGCAATCGGGCCATGCACACTCGTGAGAGGGGCTAGGGTGCAGAGGGCAGAGGCTCTCCAACTTGGGAGCTAGGAAGCAGGTGTCCACTGCTGAGGGGCACTGCAGACTGAAGCTCCTGAGGAGGTCTAGGGGAGCCTTGCCTCTGTGCAAGCACCCGGGTAGGGGCCAGGGCAGCTCTTGGTCAGTACAGACCGTAGCTGGACACAGGCTGGATATGGGACTAGGCTTGCTGGGCAGTGCGTGTCTGCCACCACCCTGGACAGCCTTCAGAAGATAATGACTGCTGATTTCATTCTGCCCACCAAGTCTTATGCAGATCGATCCTGTTTTTGTCAACTTTAAGTGGGAAACAGAAAAGAAGGGGAATCTGGCAGGCGTAGTCCCTAGCATAACCAGATCTACAATACAAATCTTTCTAGTCCACCCCAGCAATGTAGTGTCCATATGTGTCCCTTATGACCATATTTAGCTTCCAGATAAAACAGAAAGAAAGTTGTGCTTGCACCTAAAAGGTTTACCTATGCCTCATAGAACCCCCCCCAAAAAATACTCTCTCCAAAAGAGATGCAAGATCTCCTGCATTGTCGTAGGGAGTGTTTATTCTGAGTAACATGCCCCCTTTGAGAGCCTTTAACTCAAATACAGCGATAACTGGGGGACTCATCATTAACTGATTGCAGGAGTTTGACTACCAGACCAATGGTTTTGGCAGGTAAAGGTAGCAAGTGTGATGCAGTTAACACTGACACGTTGTAGCTTGCACACTGAGTACTGATTGAATGAAGAGTGCAGAGACATTTAGTTTCATGTAAAAATGGGGTCGGGGAGATAGCTCAGTAGGATAAGCGCTTGCGGGCCTGAGTTCAGTACCTGGTTCTGCCAAAAAAAAGCATCGTTATCAAATCTGATGAGTTTCAAAGCAATCAACTGCCAAGATGTGGCCATGCTGAGGTATAATAAGCACAGACACTAGTAAACATCTTAGACGAGGTTAGTAGCTCTTAATTGGAAGTGATCTTGCTCCCCAAGAGACATTTGACAATGTCTGGAGATATTTTTGGTTGTCACAACTAGGGAGGGGTAGGTCTACTGGCATTTAATAGGTACAAGCCCAAGAAGAGGCCCCCCCAAAGTAAAGAAATAACCCACCCTTGCCAACAGAAGCAAAGTTGGGAAGACCTTGTGTTAGAAAATGGAAGAATGAAGGAGATATATGTATTAAGTCTTCTAAAGCTGCCACAGCCAAACAGCATAAACAAGGTAGCTGAAAATAGAACTTTTGGACAGCAGTCCCTGGGGAAAGAGTCTAATTTACCTCTACAGAGCAGGTTGTCTTATCTGCTGATTATTAAAGTCTTCTTTGGCTCAGTGAGCATTCATACTGAATTCAAGCATCTTTACCCTCCTAGCCTGTTTTGGTCAGTCTTTTTACGTGTCTTATCTTCAGAACTTCTTTTCCTGGCCCACCAGTACCACAGTACTGCACGTGAAACATTGTTAACCATGCCTCTGGCCATCTGTCCTTCTAGGTCAGAAACACCAGCCCTGATGTTCAAAGGTCTGCCTCCTGGGAAAATTTCCCTTGCTGTAGTTCTTCAAGGCCATACCCGTGTGGGTGTCCAGAGCTATAGCTGCCCCCTTTCCAGGGGCTAAATGTTGTTCAGAGCCATTTGTAAATTGCGTCCGTATTTTTTCTTCCTTGGCCTACTGGCCATGGAGATCTCCCTGTGAGTCCAGGGGCACAAATTGAGAAGAACAGCTACTTTTGTAGGAGTAGACATCATGAACCACATGCCTCTGTAACGCATATGTACCTGCAGGACCTGTAAAACGCTCATCTTATGTATTACACCTCCTTTTGATGATGGAGTGCTGTTGTACAAACCCAGTTTTTGTGGCTTGGTGAATCAGACAACACCCAGTTAATAACCGGTGGTTCGTATGGTAACTTGGTGACCTGTGGCCAAATGTTAAGTTAAAGCCAGAAGCACTTTCTCAAAAGGAAGATTATTATCTTCTTAGAGGATGGTGTTAACTTTTCCTCCAAAATCCTAAAGCTCTTATTGTGGTTTGCTTATAAAACCTTCGTAAAATATCTCTGCTTATTACAAACACTTCAGTTACCAGCAGACCCCCAAGATCAGGTGGGCAAGTAGCAGAGTAATCGGGGTCTCCACTTAAAAGAGGCGTAGAAGCCCATTTCTGTCCCTGCTGTCATCATGGGAGATTTTCATGCAAGTGTAGCATCATGTGGTAGAAGACATACAGGGCCCTAAGGGATACCTGTGTCTGTGTATTCTGTCCAGTTTTCATAGTAAGGTCATTTATCTTGGCATTTTCCTTTAGTATAGTTTTTGGGGTTCAAGTTCAAATTGTGCACCCACTTATCAGATTGAATTTGGGTACCTTATGAGAAGTTAAAAGGAATTCTTAAAATGAATTTATAGGAGGATTTGCAGATTAATTTATACAGTAGACATGGAAAAATGTCTTTTATTTATGGAGGACTAGAGATTGTTTTTCAAAGGAAATTTATGATTAAGCAAAATATATCATTCATTGTTTGCCTAAATTTTAGCTTCTAAGTGAATTAGTATGTTACTGAATTTAATGATTTGTTTCATGTAAAACATACATGATTTTAGAGACCTGTGACCATTGTTAATCTTGTCTTTCTTTGAAACTATTGAGGTTTTTTTTTAAAGAGAATTATTGCACGCTGGTACCATTCTATAAATTTTGTTGCTATCTGTACATTTATCATAAAGCTTATCTACATTTTGTGTTCCAAGAACAAAAGAATTGCTGATCTCTTTAAGTAGGCACTGGTAGATATATATCACTTAAAAGTATTTCTTGTACTTCTGGTACATAACTGTAGATGAACAGGAAAGATATTAACCTGTTTAAAAGGAGAAGCAGTTTTTGTTGTTGTTGTCACTGACATAGCCCTATTGACTTCAAGTTTCTAACTAGTGGTGAGTGTCATGAGTTAGGCTAGCTAACTCAAATTTACAGCCGAAAAATTTAGTCTGAGTTATCTCAAAAATGTGACTTATATAATTCTTAAAAAGAGGCTTATCTTTCTGACAAAAGAATAGAGTGCATATAGAATAGAAAATAGAGCTCAGTAGAATAAGGCTGAGTCAGTAAGGGATGAGGAAGGAAAGGAAAAGAAAGGAAAGGAGAGGAAGGAAGGAGAAGAAAGAAGAAAAGAAAAGTGTGAGTTGAGACAGATGAGGACTCCAAGGCTTCAGAAGTGGGTTGCTAGGGAATAAGAACAGAAAGATACCAGAAGCAAAGAGTTTCTAGTCCTTTACAAGTAGGCCTGGATGTGACAGGGGACACCTGGTGTCCCAGTCCCTTGGGAAGCTGGAGTGGGAGGCATGCTTGAGCCCAGAAGTGCCAGGCCAGCTGGCCAATGTAGTGAGATCTTAGCTTAGAAAAGAAAGAGGAGATGAGAATTAGCGTCTAGTGGTGAACTGCAGTTGGATGATGTCATTTAGGTAATAGGGTGGTAAATTGGCTAAGCCTGACAGGGTGAACTAAAGCTAAAAATATGCAGATAATCATGGAATAAAATTTGTGGGAAATCACAACATCCTAAGATTAGCATTCTCCTAATCATTAAAACTTACTTTGGCTGTCGTGTGTGCCCTCAAAAAGTATGAATTGAGCGAATGAGGTTTCTAAAGTAGTTTCAGGGGCCAGGGAGATAGCGCAGCAGCATAAGTGCCTGCTTGGCAAGTGCAAGGTCCTGAGTTCAATCCCCAGTACCCAAAATGAAATGAAATGATGAAAATAAAATAAATAAAGGAGCCTCAGTTTACAAAGTATAAATTCAGCAAGAAGGAGAAGTTGGTTGGTGGGTAGGTTGCTGTCAGAATCGAGTAGGATTATTGAGTGTGAAGCAGCCCAACCGTAACAGGATTATTATTCACATAAGATGAAATAAATGGTCTGAAATTGAGAAGAGGCCAGACTGGCAGAAGTCATCTAAACAACGTTGCCACTTCCTGTAACAAATAGTGAAGAAGTCCATACTCGGTCCTAGTAGAATAAATGTGTATATCTATGCATGCGTGTGAGTATTCTGTGTCCTTAGTAGGTAAGCCATTATTATCTCTAACTTACAGTACAGAATTTGAGGTCACATCCTATTGCATGCCACTGTACTGTTTCTGGCTGTCACCTAAATACTAAAGAACTTATTTACTGATATGTACATTGAATTTTCTTTTTCAGAAAAATTTCTATTTTTGTGTCCCTATTTTCTCTCCTATCACCTGTTTTTCCCTTTTGGCTTTTCTGCTTTTATCTGTACAAATCATATTTTTTTGTTTTTAATTAATATATTAGTTGTCCATATTAATGGGGTTCAATATGACATTTCTGTATATGCAGCATGAACTAATGAAATTCAGCCTTCCTCCCACTTCTGAACCTCTATTAATTATTCTGTGTTCAGGTTAATTTTTTTTAGCTTGCACACACAGAAAGAAAAATACCACCTGTTCTCTCTTACATGTGGAAGCTGCTCATGCTCTTTTATTTTGCACTAGAGAGAGGAAATTCGATGTCAGTATGTTGTGACATGTGCAGGACTTTACTCAGACCGTATTTCAGAGTTGAGTGGCTGCAGTCCTGATCCTCAAATTGTACCATTCCGGGGAGATTACCTGCTTTTGAAGCCAGAAAAAAGCTACCTTGTAAAGGGAA